TATATACACACACACACACATTACAAATATATAATAAAAATATTCTGTCTCATGGGGGCTAAGCCCCCCTTGTCCTTAAAACCTAGTGACGCTCCTGCTGGAAGCCTCCCACTATGGACTTAGACTTAATGGAGACGACTCACTACAAAAACCTGTTATGTGTTTATTCACTATTTTGCGTTTATTAGAACTCTTAAAAATTATCCAATCGACCGTTTACATGTGAAATTCATCTGCTGCTTAGTCGTAGAGGCAGCAGGTCCAGGAGAGAAACCCAGACCTCCCTCTCCCCAGCAACACTACTCCCAGTGGATCCCAAGGTGATCCCAGACCAGAGAGGATATATGATTATATATCCTTTCTGGGATCAGAGGATCCTCCAGTGGGTCTGCCTTGTCCCAGTGGAGTAGAAAACTTTCAAAGGGAGGCATCCTAATCAGATGTCCGAACCACCTCAACTGACCCCTTTAACTGTAAACCTGCATCTAAAATATCTAAAAATTTCTGCATGCAGTCACAAAATGTTTCAATTAGTATTTATGAGTAATATTTATCAATGTTTTGTTTAATGTAGTTTGTGTTGTGGAAATAAATATATATTTTTATAAGTGATTATTGGTATAATTTTCGTTTAATTATAAAAAAAACTATCTGAAGTTAGTACCAATAAAATAAAATAAAATAAAATAAAATAAAATAAAATAAAATAAAAGATTTTAATGCCAAAGGTCCCAGTAAAGCAATGGTGAATTGATGGAGTTAAAATCCAATGCTGGATCAATATGAGCCCCAATTGCACACAATCAGCTCCATGTGGGGAACATCATCACCGTGTTGTTTTTATTTATTTATTTTATAAGATGCCATTATGATGATTAGGCAGGAGCATGACAATGCTGGTTGAGGGAGTCTGACGTAGGCAGGCGGAGGAGAAAACAGACAACCTCCAACACACTCAGATCCACAGAGGAGGGTTTCTGTAAAAATGGAAGAGGAGAAACAGTAGATGTTTTTTTTTTCTTTTTTCTGCAGACTGAGGATGCACAATAGAGCATCTCCCGCACCGAGTTTAATTGCGGATTAGAGGGAGGAGGAGGGGAGGAGGACGAGGAAGACGAGGAGAGACGTCTCTTTATCATTAGGAGAGAAGCTGAGGAGGAGGAGGAGGAGGAGGAGGACACCGACGCTGACAGTCGCTCGGATGTTGTTGTTGTCCATCCAGACGCGGCGACGATGCGGCCCCACTGCTGGGTGATGGTGGCGCTGGCCGGGATCATGTCGTACCTCAGCCCGGAGAGAGCGCTCGGAGCACCGCAGAGGGAAGGTGAGCGGAGCCGGGAGGAGGAGGAGGAAGAGGGAACCTGTCAGTGATGCTGGAGAAAGAAAAAAGGCCGCTTTACGTTTTCACTGCGGGATGAACACTGACTCATTAAGCCAGTTATTATTGTGCCTGACTTCACTGAAGCAGGAGCAGGGTGATGGGGAGCAGATTTGCATGCAGGGGATGCTGCGTTTATTTATTTATTTATTTATTTATCTATTTATTGGTGTGGGGGGCCATTACATCGATGCATTAAAAAAACATGATTATAAAAAAAAGAGTAGGCCAAAAATAAATCGACACATTAATGTAAAGCAGGTTCAGATGATTTCACCCACGTCTCAGGGGCTTGTGTTTCTCATTGTGGTGTATTGTTTTGGCACAGAGGATGGTGGAGAGAAAAAAAAAAAGCCCCCCCCGTGTTAGGTCCATATTTATATGCAGTGTCTGTCTGGACATCTGTCTGAGGGGGGGAGAGGTGGTGGAGGGGTGGAAGAAAAGCTCAGGAATTGTGCGTCAAGACTGGATGGAGACAGCAGTTTTATTGTTGGAGCTGCATGCTTTAAGGAGACCACACAGTCTGAGAGGAAACACTTTGCCCTTCATTTGAAGGTGTGATGCTAAACAGATCGAAAATACAGTCAATTTGATTACCCAGACTAGCACCTGGATGAAATTAGCCTAAATGTTAGGTTTTAAGATCTTCTGCTGCTTGTTGTGTTTGTGCTTTCGTAAAGAGTAGTGGGAGGCCTCCATCCAAGAAGCAGACTTTAGGTTGTTAAATTATTAAATGCACTTTGAAATTGATGTATGCTGTGTTTACACTATCGTGACCTTGTGAAGGAATGTATTGTTGATTTTTAATGAGGGACAAGGTTAGTGAAACCAGGTTATTTTTAGGCCAAGATGGATTCATGTGGTCAGAGTTTTAAAATATCTTTACGTGACCTCATTTTTTTTACTCTTTATGTCGATTATTCCTTAGTTAACTTTGACTAGTTCCTATTAGAGCCAAAGGGCATGTGTTTCTACATAAATGTTAATTATGTTTTACATGTGGTTAGATTTTTATTTTTGTGTTTATTATATGACCTCAGTTCAGAAAAAAGTAGAAAGATTGTATAAAATGTAAGCAAAACAGAGGGCAATGATTTGCAAATGTCATAAAGTCATATTTTATTCATCTTGGAAAATAATAAACATATCAAATGTTTAAAGTAAAAAAAGTACAATTTTCTTCAGGGCAAATAAGTTGAGACTGAAGCAACAAAAGGCCCTAAAAGTACGTGCAAATAAACAGCTGCAGGAAGTAATTATAATTTGACAACAGCTCAATAATAGATAAAGAAATAAAGTTGAGGAGAGGTTCACTGACATTAATACTGCATCTAAATTTAATGGAACAATTTCAGAATACTGTTTCAGAACAGAGAAGTGGCAAGACTGAAAAAACAACATATACAATTTGTCTTATAATAAAAAAAAAACATTTTTTAACTAGAGGAATCTGAGCTCAAAGAACAAGGCTGAATACTGTATCAATATTTATTTATTTATTTATTTATTTATTTATTTATTTATTTATTTAGACCTTCAGGGCCTTCAGGACCACTTTTACAAATCAATATCCATAAACACGGTTCCCTGTGCCAATCACAAAGACAGGTTAAAGCTCTATCATGCAAAGACAAAGCCATACTGTATGTGAACTCTGTCAGATGAATCAAAATGTTAATTTTTGTTCATGGAAACCACAGACATCCCAACTTCTAAAGATGAGAGAGACCACCCCAATTGATACTAGCACACGAATTAAAATCCTGCCTCTCTGATGGTGTAGAGGTGCATTAATGGTTCTGACATGGGCAGTTTACAACTGTAAAGTCACCACCAATGCAGAAGAGTACATACAGGTTTTAAAACAACATAGGACTGGGTTGGTTAGCACTGTTGCCTCACAGCAAGAAGGTTCTGGGTTCAATCCCCAGTTAGGATTTGGGGAGTTTGCATGTTCTCCTCATGCTTGTGTGGGTTTTCTCAGTTTTTCCCACAGACAAAAAACAGGTACAATGGGCACTTCAGGCCCTTCTTGCAAAAGAGATCTGTGACTCAATAGAACTTGCTTGATTAAATTAAATTACATTTTTTAAGGAAGACCTTAAGACAGTATTAAACAGCAAACAACAGGATGGCTTCATGTAAGAGTCCAAGACAAAGGCTGGACTGTCCTGCATTTGTAAAATCATGAAACTAAATATCAGAACAGGAAGATTATTTATTGTAAAGATATTAAAGCCATTTTGAGATGTGTCACTGCCATAAAATTCAAAACTATCAGATAAAAAATATATACAACTCCTTATTTTAAATATTTAATAAGTTTATCATCATGAATAAAATATGGATTTATTTATAAATGATTGCATTATGTTTTTGTTTACATTTTACACAACACAACTTTTTTTGGAATTGTGGCACGGGCTGATCAACTTCAAACTGTTTAAGGATTTAGTTGTTGCTCTTTTCTTGTGTACATTTTGGCCACAGGCTTGAAATGAAACCTACATAGAAAAATTTAACTTCGTTCCCTTGCCCCTTTTCTTTTTTTTACAGATGGTTCACACCCCACATTGAACTACGTCGAGGTACAATTATTAAATGTCCCGATCCCTTTCTCCTCTTTGACCTGAGTAGAAAACCTTCCCGACTGAGTAATTTATTATCGAGTTTTCAATCCTAGCGCTCCTTTTTTTTAAACCTAAATGACAACTCCAGCCACCCTCCCCCTTGCTTCTTTAACTGTTTCCTATAAGTGGAATGCTGTTTCTGATATTTCCCCACCTTTCCCTATGCTTATTCTCCTTACTGGAATGGTAACTTTCAGACTATAATTCCAGTCTCTGTTTATGTATTTTTTTTTTAAATCTTACACTTAGCTTGTATTTTATTTCCCCTCCCAAAAATCCCTGATGCAAACTTGTCCATTGGGGTTCTCTCCGCTGTGTCTCAATCCTGCAACTGAAATGATGCTCCAATGGCTTTCCTATAAACAACAGCAACCTGTGTAACAAGGTTTCTACACCAGTGTGATTCAAGGAAATTTATTATTTTCTTTACATTCACCCTGACTGACCCTGTAGAAGCACAAACAAACCGAAGTTCTGCTTTAAAACCTTTCTTCCTTTTTTCTGTCATTTGATTAGTATCTCAGACGAGGGCTGAATCCCTCTCTCCTCCGCCCTACGTGGTCATCCTCATCTCCTGCTCGGGGCTCGTCTCTTTTGTTCTGCTGCTCCTCACCTGCCTTTGCTGCAAGAGAGGAGGGGTGGGCTTCAACGTAAGTCTTCAAGATGGGACTCATATATTTATATGTGTGTGTGTGTGTGTGTGTGTGTGTGTGTGTGTGTGTGTGTGTGTGTGTGTGTGTGTGTGNGTGTGTGTGTGTGTGTGTGTGTGTGTGTGAATGGTTGCAACATATAGGAAGCCAGGTTTGACATACAGTATTTCAGAAATAGCATGCGTACTCAAGCTATTTCTGAAAAATGTCAGCTAATCTGACAGCTAATCTTAATTATACAACACAAAAATGGTTCAATGGCTCAGAAATTCTTTTACATTGTTTCATCTTTTTTTCTTTTCTTTTTTATACTGTATATGTTATGTTCAATATGAATAAAGACGCAAACATGTTACAGATTCACCCATAAGTCATACATCCTGATGCATGACACCCTGGAACATAACGTGAGATTGTGCATAATATATTTTTTTTAAGTTTTGACTTTTTTTTAATAATTAAACTATTATATTCCAATAGGTAAAATCGTACTCTGCATTTTTGCCATCACACATGTGAGCAGAGGGCTGTTATCTAAAGCGCCTGAGGGGCAGCTGCAGACTTATTGAAAGTCAGAGGGACAAATGTGCTTCACCTTTCCCACCTAGAAAATAGCAATCATTGCTTCAATGGCCGAACAGAATGACGTGGGTCAGATTTGGACAGCGCACCACTTATGTCACGGTTTTTAAACTTTATATTTAGTTCACATTTAAAGCAGCTACTTAGAAAAACAATGAGCAAACTGCATTGACTGATTACATTGCTTTTTCTAGTCTTTGTAAGAGCTCAGAACACATAGCAGCCCTGTAAGCTGTCATCTCATGAACTTTTATCTATCTTTTCTTGTCAAAGGGCTTCTGGTTTTGTAAGATTGTTGTGCTCTTGACCATTTACTGCACTTTTTAAGGTATCTGCAGAAAAGTGAGGGCCATTTCACTTAAAAAAAWCTTATTCAGGTTGTTCGCAGTGTCACAGTGTGCAATAAAAGTTAAAGACACTGATACACATGTTTAATAGTTGAAAAACTATTTTAAAAATCCCTATTTCTACATATTGAAGATGGTATTTATGCAGGTTAGAAAATGCACAATCAACTCAAAACTTTTTTAAGTAGTAGCTATAGATTTGAAAACTGGTTACTATAGATTTGGTGCCTAATAATCGACATGGTATTTTACTGCCATTCTATTAAGATTTGATTTTAATAGAGAGGCTCACACAACATTCCATGTGACCAAGATATATATGGCTTTTAAGAAGATTTCATGTGAGGGAGTCTGTCTAACATGCAGTGGCAAACCACTCCAGAGTTTTAGACCTGAAAGAGAAAAGGTTCCGTCAACTCTGAGCTTGCATTGCATCCTTCGAAGCATTAAAAGCATCTGCTGAGCCCAGAGAGCGAGGTGGTATAATTGGGTGCAGTTCAGAAAGATAAGAGGAAGCAAAACTGTTAAGACTTAAAAGAAAGAAAAGATATTTAATCGAATTTGTCATTAATCAGTGAAGGAAAATTTAAAAAAAACCGAGGAAATGTATTATCAACATGGTTCATATTTTTATATATTTATCTACAACACAAACAAAAATTTTACAAAAAAATGTGTAATTTTGTTTTTACAACTGTAAAAACTAATCCCCTGCCTATTTCTATTCAGCGATTAACATCATGCACAACTAACCACATCATTTATTTGCCAGGCAAATTAATCACCACAGGAGGATTGTGAGAACAGATTTGTGTATGTGTGTGTGTAGTCTTGCATGAAATTCAGTCTCTAATCTTATCTCTGGTTTGTTCTGGTGCTTGTTTGAATGAAGGTYTGACGCAGGTAGTTTCAAACAATATTTATTTGAACAAATCAGAGATTGGAGAAATTTACACAGGAGTCATAGCACACATATAAACACAATGGCTCCAAAGATTACATCATCATTTGCTTTTGTCAGTTTTGAGCAGCCCTAAAAAGTAAGAAGGATGTTCAGAACTATTTGAAGTTGAAGAAACACTGGTTTACTCACACTGATATTTGATGAAGAGAACCAAATCAGTGAATGCAAAAATGAATAATGTTCTCAACCCACTTTTAGTTTGAAAATTTTTTTAGAGATTGTTATTCTTTTTAAGATTAAAAGATTTAGACATTTGGAAATGGAGTTTCTGTGGACAAATTACGAACACTTGTTTTACCTGTAACTATAATTGAACAATGCCAGTTTGGAGAAAGATGTTTTATTTCTAACAAGAACCGTGAGCTAACAATTAGTCAAAGTGACTAAAGTGAGTTGCTAATGTTTTAAATCATTTTTGAAAATATATTAGCAGTTCACACTTTTAACACCACTGTCATTTTTTTCAATACACTGTTACTGACATGAAATTCAACTTATTTATAAGCTTAAATAGCAGCAGCTGTAAGCAACTCTTCTAGTGCATCGCAAGGTACTTGGAACAGAAATATATCATTTCAGCATTTCATCCAGAATAAAATAATACTGACAATGATGTTTAGGTTTATTTCCTGGCATTTGCATGAACTGCTATAAAGTTATTAAGAATGTGGCAKTAAGACCTGCAGTRTGAYTGTAGCCTAAAATCAGAATGTTGAGTTTAAGATTTAAAAAAATGCAATCCAGATGATGGATGTTTTTTGGGTATGTCCATTTTATTGTACACAGSTTTTAGAACCAATAATGAAATATTTTTCACAGACGATGAACATTTTGCGAATAGCTAAAGTATAACATTTTGAACTGAATTAAGTTAATACCCACAAAACTGATAGAACAGCAGGCGGTAGATGCTGCGCTCCTCTAAATATTCCGCGCCAATATCAAGTCCGTCAACCTTAAAGATGTAACTTTCTTGTTCATTGAAAAAATCAGTGCACATGTTAGTGAGAACTGACTCTCTGCAGCTTCAGAGAGGAGGATTTGTGACAGACTATCAGCTCTGWTGCTCCTACTCCTACATGTCAAGCTGTCGTGTCCGTACAAAGTTGTTTTACCGGATTCAAGTGCAGCTTTGCAAATCTAAGCTAGCAATTCGATCTTTCCTTCTAACAACATTTTAAACCTTTTCCCAGTTGAACTTTCACAAATATTAACATTGAAGATGCTTAGTCAGGCCTTCAGAGTCTGACACAAATCTCCTAGATGTTTTGCAACTTTTGTGAAATGGCTGAAATTCCTGTAACACTGAGACAATTGGCGACCACTATTTTTTTTCTATCCTGCATTTGTGTGTGTGTGTGTGTGTGTGTGTGTGTGTGTGTGTGTGTGTGTGTGTGTACTCATATCACCTCTCTGCCATTCAACGGAAATGTAGTCATAATAAATAGTTTTCATTAACAACACCCCCCTTCCAAAATGGTGAAGTCAACACACCTCATTCACTACGCCTACCACTGATCATTGTGTTTTTACTGTGACTCATCCAGGAGTTTGACAACGCTGATGGGGAGGAGTGCTCCGCAGGTTCCAGTCCCATCCAAGAGGACAGCCTGTCCTCATGTCCCTCGCTCCCTGAGGTTTACACCTTGCCAGTCAGAGACCATCCCAACTGCTCTGCCCTGCAGGATGGAGCAGGTAACACTTTTTTTGTTATGAAAACACTGATAAACAAAGATGCAGCACCGTCCTGCAGAACTCTCTCACGGTCTGGTACCCGAGTCACTGATGCGGAGCCGTTGAGGGTCTCAAACTGAGTACACAGACAGTAGCACTGGACTCCCCGCTGCACGGAAGTGAAGCGGAAACTGTGATGTGAGAAGCTTCTACATCAACGCTCCGTATGAGCTGAGCTTATAGGACATTTGGGCAGAGACGCACCAGGGAGGAAAAGATCCCTCCAAAGTTGTTCTATTTAAAGATGCAGTTTTGATCATTGTTTCATGACCTGAATGTCTGACCTCTGACAAAAAAAAAATTTGAACTGAGCTTCACACTCAATGTTTTCAAATTCTAACAAAGCCTGGAAAGCCTCCAAAAATTATAGATAGTAAGGCAGGATTGAAGTTAAAATTTCATTACAGAGTACCACTTCATACACAAGACAAATAAAATTCTCAGCATAACATTATCATCAAACGTCTAATTATGCTTCATAAATAGCCTTAAACATTTAAAAACAACACAAGCAACATATTTTAGACAGTCATAAGCATTGTTTTTGCGGGGGTTAAATGCTAAAGATGGTGAAACTAGCAGCCTTTGAAAGATTTAATATTGCCTTCTGCATTCATGCAAAAGTTTTTAACAAAAATGTTGCACAATCTTTTTAGAACTTGGAGCATATGTTGAGACTGACTCTCATCTACCACTACCACAAATTTTAACTCAGTATCTGTGAAATTGGTTGAGTTTTCGCCATCTTTGTGTTTGCTAAGTACAGTTAGTTGTTAGCATCTTGAAAGAGTTGAAAGAGTTCAGTCTTACACTTCTTATAACAAAGTTATAAGAGTAATTTATTTAGCAAGGGATCTCTTTTATTTTGGGTAAACATTCCTCCAGTGCAAAAATGAATGGACACACAAGAAGTTACTCTCAGTCAGTGAATGCTGATTTGATCCATACATATTGCGATCATTTATTTTACAAATCATACAGAATCACTAAGTACACTTAATAGCACTTAATAGGTTTCAGTCACGTGGTTTCGAAGGCGGAGCGATCTCCGCTGGAGGGCAGGGGGTAAAATGTCTATGGAGGAAACTACTGTGGAGAGTTTATATTGTATGGATTTAGGTCCTATTTCAAGATATATAACAACAATTTGTTCACAAATATGTCAGACATGACTCGTATGATGAAGATGAATGAGTTTTCAACAGAACCTAAAGATTTTCTGAGGCTGTCAGTACCACACACATCTTACATCACCAAGTGCCAAATAATAACCAGCAAAAGTTTATCTGATGAATAATTCCACACAATTCTGCCCAAGCCTATGACAACATATGATAACACTGATTATCATAAACAAAGATGAAAAATGTAGAAAGCTCACAGAACGACAATGTAAAAAGAGGATTTTAAATCATCTGCGGTCAGGAGGAGCAGAATGTCGTCGGTGTCTGCAGGCAGAGGCCACTACATCAGAGGAATGTTAGCTGCTAACTTGTTTTAGAGGTTATGTTTATAAGGATTGTTTATTTAGTAGTGAGTATTAAGTTACTGGTAGTTTAATGTGGACCTCATCTGGACTTTAGGCTGCCCTAGTTCTGTGTAGTTAGCTGCTGGATGTGTGTTGACGTTAGCCGCTACTGTTAGCATTATCTTAACATATAAAACAATATCAGAACAAACACTCACCCTGGCAAAAAACAAACGATAATCATCATGGAGCTGTTTGGTACCGAGGTTGTGGATCCACCTGCTGAATAAAAAGTTCTACACCTCCTGTTGTTTACGTGCTTTCATCAGCTGTTCGGTGTAGTTAGCATCCCATTAGCGCTGCACCGTCTGACCCGGCAGACCGGTAACGGGACCGTAGAGTCCGCTCGGTGCTCGATCTTCTTCTCTTCCCTCATAATCGAAATAGTGAATCACCTACCTCCTCATCAAAGTCCTCACTCTGTCTCCGACTGTTTTTCCTCCATCTCTGCCTTTGAGCTCCTCTGTCAAACTGCGGCTCGGTCCGATTCGGTCCACCTGTCCGCAGCTGGACTGGAGCTCCACCTTCATCGCCTTTTTTTTTCATCAAAGACACTAAAATAACTAACTAAACTTCACCGTAACTATGAAATATAGTTATACAAATATAATAAATGTAATAAATTTCGGATATCTCATTGCTGACTTCCGATTGCGCTGTCTCTCCATCGCAGCTGAACTTTATTCAACTTCCGCCTCTTTTTATTTTTATCCTCCTGTAGCTTTTTTTTACTGCTTGTCTAATATTTTCAGGCTTCAGTCAGAAAGGAGTTTGGGGAGTTGAGGTTTGTTCGGCGGGGTGGGGGTGACACCAGACAGTGGAATTACCGGTAGGTGTTTTCCCCCCATGAATCAACCCTCTTTTACATCCTCCTGCTGCAACGTGCTTCAGATATGACGAACGTTAATAAAAAGAGCCATAGTTTTATTTAATTTAATATATAATTTAATCAGTGTATAATTATTTATTATTAATTCAGTTAGAATGATTGGAGCACTCGTAAACTACACAAGATATGGGCATGTTTTCAGAAAGCAGATCCTCCACTTTTTCACTTCCAATCTCCATCCGAACTTCGTGCACTAGTGACGTCACGTGAAACCCTCCTATTGTGGCAATCAGTTTCTATAAAAGTTTAGAACCGACAATAACAAGCTTCTAGCTTCTTAAATTGTGAATAAACATTTAAATAGAAACACAAACGTCAAGCTTTGATGTTGAATACCAGACATTTGAGGCAATTAGCTTAGAGCTGGCAAGGAAGAGTTTAAGAAAAGGAGGAAAGTAAGGTGTTAGCTTTCTTATACTTTTATCTTAAATAATGTGGTTTAACCAGAAGGGTGAAGCATTCTACTCGGCGTCAGCCAGAGAGAGAGATAATAACAGCCAGCTTTTTACCTTAAAGATGATTTTCTGTCACCTGCCAGGTATTTCGGGGGTGCTGCTGGAATATTCGTCCCAGAACCGTCAAACAGGGAACCCCAAGGCATGTTTTGTCTTGCTTGCGTCCACGTCAAGCCGTAGAAAGAAGGCGACCCCAAATTGGTAACCGGCTTCAAAGTACAATTTCCGTCTGGAGAGTTTTCTGAAGTGGATCGACCAGGCATTGGTCATCGACACTGTGAGGTTTCCCCGTTGGCGATGAAGGGGCCAAAACCTGACACAGTTTTCAGCTTTTGACTCTGAGAGTCTAGCTGTCAAAGTGACTGACGGCGGTCCGTCACTTACTGCCATCCGGGCGGAAACTGTTAGTTACTAAGAAGCTTAGAGAATCTAAGTTCCGCCTTCCGGAAGGTTAGATTAGAAAAGAAGTTATCAAGGCAAGTGTTAGATTCAGAACTTGCCGTCGCCTCCTGAAACTAACACAAATATTATTGCTGCTGTGTGGTTCAGAACAAAACATTTCATGACCCATTTAATTATCTGATGAGCTCTTATTTAAAAACATAACTGAAAGAAAAATGAATTGCTTCAAGTTCAAAACATTTGCAAATATGATTCAGACAAAACATTGATATTTCATCAACTTTAAACTAGGAGTGTCCCGATACCAGTTTTTTCAAGACTGAGTACAAGTACGAGTACTTCAGTTTAGGTACTCGCCGATACCGATACCGATACCAAGTAGCGGTGTTAGGGTGGATTATCTGTTCAACTTGTTGAATATTAAACTGAATGAAAATGAAATGCAATTATCATGCAAAAATTGATGGGTAAATATTATGTTTGACAATAATAAGGTAGTGCAAACTCTGACAAGTAGATAAGTTGATATATATATCACACCATAACTTTTGAAACCATTTATTTTATTTCAAACAGGGCTCTTTTTAATAAGGCCACACTCCCTCTGAATGTATTAACAATACAAATACTGCAAAACAAACGCTGTTGCATACATTAAAAAACAAAATAAGTTATTTTTATACATTTTCCTCAACATGCAACTACCAAATTTAAATTAAAATGTAAAACGTAAATTTTAGCAGCACATCTATAGAAGTTTACTCTGCTTCAGACTTAAACTGTTAAAATAGTAATAAAGTGCAGTAAATTTCAGTTCAAACTTAAATGGAACAACTAAAACAAAATCTCAAGAACCAGAGGGAAAAATAAAATG